ATATAACTGTCGAAGACTTCTTAATTTATTACATTAATAACCTAAAATCATTCTTAGATATTGGCAAATTTTATGAGCGTTTTGTAAAGAACCAATAAGTTTTCTTTCTAAATAAAATAATTGCCGATGTGTGCTGAAAGAAACGAACCGGTTTGTTAATTGATTTATTGCTGTGGTTCGGCAAGGCAGTAAGAGGACGTAGGATGATAGAAATACGGAAGGGAAACAAAAGTACTGTCTTTGTCGTAACCTTGCTCAGGAGAATAATGCCAGCAGACTGACACAGTCTTCATGACATATACCAGCCACGTGATGACTTAAATACTTTAACTTAGTTTTACTGTAACTGCAACAGCTGAGACTTGGCGTTAATATAATGAAATAATACATTCAGTTCAAGGTCATTTTTATATAAAACAGTTTTAAAATCTGTTCCAGTCTGTGGTTTTATCAGCGTAAAATAACAGTGTAGCATCTGGCCATATTAAGTACTCGAAATATACTTTCAGAATCTTTTTGCTGCTATATATGTGTTATGGACATGAAGATTTTCCTTGACTAAAACGCAAGAAAAATCTTCAGGTTCATAACACTAGTTTCTACATAGATTCTTAGATGTTATTAAATGTCTTAAACATGACCCTATTTGAGAAATACGAAGATATGAAAATGCGCGTTTTAAAATCCAGGAAATAGTGTCCTTTCCGATAAATGTGATAAATGTTTAACCCACTAGGCAATATAAATACAATGCCTGTTCATACACACCGATTTCTTCGGGCTGTGCTGTGCTGCAGTGAATTGTAAACCGTATTATAATCAGGCAACATATGAACTCAACATCCGACATGGTTCGAGCATTGCCGTACCTCAAGCGGCAAAGGTCAATACTCCATTCTTCTGTTGCGAGAGTCACAAAGCCGGACTCAACTTGTCATGGAGGATATTCAAAAGGCCCGAACACTCCCACAATATAGCACAGTCACCCGTTCACGTTTAGAGACGCCAAAATTGATAAGACAACAGGCATATTGCACTCACCCTCCTAACTGCGACCTTCTATCAATGTCCAATTCGATCTGTTGTTACAGCGGGGCAGCGAGATTAATCAGTGATAGATAAAGAAGAACAAGGACTAAAAATTAGGATGAATTAACTGATTGTAGTTTTCACCAGAGACAGACTCCAAAGTCACACAGGTGGCAACATTATTTCAAACGCTCTAAATCAGCGTTTCTCAACCTATGGTGATGAGCCAATGTTGAGTGGTACACGAACTAAGTAAGAAAATCAAAAGATAATATTAACACAAATAAGTTTTCCCTAAACGCATTTGGTTGGTGGTACATTCACTGTGTTAAATTATAATTAGTGGTACGTCAGGGAAAAGGGTGAGAACCCCTGCACTAAATTATTATTACTGTTACGATAACATGTAGTATACCTTAAAAATTTGTCATCACCTTTATTCCGTCTTGATTCAAATTAATTTTAATGGAGGGGTTTTACTCTAAAATTTGTGCAATGAGTAAGTACCAGAGAAGATAGTGTTTAATGCTACACCCAGTTAGAAAGCGAACTAAACAAATCTCCGTTTTCCCCACACATTCATCACCGTTGATTCAATTTTCCATATTACAAAATAAATTTATCCTCATTCATGTTTCACCCACTTTGTCAAAGAATTCACAAAACCACTGCTTTAATCTAAACACAAAGGAACTGTAATGGTTTGTACCGAGGGTCGTGGTCGAGTGGTTAGCATTTCTGCTTCGTATTCGGAAGTCCAAGCCTTGGCTCGGAGATCGGCTATTCTGACTGAGGTGTTCGTGGTTTTCCTCAGTCCTTCCATGCAAATGCCGGGATAGTACATTAATTTAGGCCACGACCGATTCCTTCCACATCCCTACCAATTCATTCTTCACTATCATCATCACATTCGACGCTGTACGGTCTAAATCTAAACGCGTCGTTGAATAAATTATAAATGAAATAAATTAATGGTTTGTGTTCCTAATTGCCTTCAGACTGATCGCCTACTTGTCAGCAGGACAGTTGAAGTTCCAACACGTCCGATAGCACATGGACACCATCCGGAAGCGATGGTTGAGTCATCATAAGCAAAAATGTAATCATGATACCAAGTCTTGTGTTCAAACGTTAGGCTACCGGTATCCCTAAGACAGAGTACGGTTAGTTTGTGATTAGAAGCCGTTATTGTTTCATGATAAATTATTCCCCTCTGATGGAACTGTTCAGATAACGTCTATTAACATTTCAAATTAGCAAAACTGTAATTATAATTCATTTTAATTTACAGTTAGTTATACTACTACATTCAGGAACTCCCTTGTTCCTTCCTCTTAACTACACGGGATAGCAAGGAAGTGGCTTAACTTTTCAACAAAATTTGTTACAAAAATATTCAGTGATGAAATTACAACATTTGTGAGTGGAGCATTGTCGGTTTTTTTATGTGTTAAATAAAATGCAATTCTTAACTGATTTTTAAATGAAATTCTAGACACCGACTATCCTTAAATACTAAGAGAGGGGATATTGCATCATAAAAATTCAATAAATGTCAGCCACTGTACCATGTGAAGATGATCAAAATGTTAGCTGATACATGTCGCGGAAAGAAAAAGTAAGACAAATTGTTATAATAAAATAGACGAATTGACGAACTGTGTAGCATGCAACATACGTATAAGGAAGTTAAAATTATAAATTGACAAAATTTCTGTTACATCACATCACGTATAGTAATTACTACATCTACTTTTATGAACAGTATGAGTAAAATCTGTGGTATAAATTAACAGCATTATGTCACTGCGGCAATCATCGACCTGATGCAGACGCCGGTAAACTCCTACTAAACTACATCGCACGACAACCCAGAAGACAGCCAATTTCACACTCGTCGCTGTGAGAAACTGAAATCCAGATTATTATAAAACATAAAAAAAACAAGAAATTCACGGTGATTGTCCAGCGGATAGGAATCTTACAGAAAAATAAGCAGAGGACCATGTCAAATACAGGGACACTTCTGTAGAAATGGAGTGACGCTTCGGTGGTTATATTGTAATCGTGTCGTTCTGCACCGCAAAAAAATACTCTACTTGGATCAGAAGCTGTAACACTCATCTAAAATGTGTCGTGCATTATGTTTCACAGAGATTATGTTTTTTCCCTCCTTTTTAAATGTATCTCTGTATATGTATGCACGAAGGTCCCCTACACTCTTGGAACGTTCTGTTCATGGCTATGTCAAACTCTGATGAAACAGGTATGGTGTTTAAACGTGGAAAATCGTTCGCATTTATTTTCGATCTCAACGATCTCAAGCGGGATTGAAGGGCGGGGTCTATAACCTCCTTCTTATAGCAACTGAAATTCTTGTGCCTGCCCACAACATATTTAGTTAGTTTAGTGCAGACACAAATCTCATTCTGTAAATGTAATGAATCATGCAGATATCTCTGCACACAGACGTAACAATTTAATCAGTATTTCTTTACATATTTAAGAGATATAAAATGTTTTTGTAGATCTTCATTAGGGCCGTATTTTACCTTGTGTTTTCTTTTAACAATAGATAAACCTTCGATTTGACCATCATGTAGATATGGGCAGAAATAAAATACATCCAATAATTCTAGAGCGTTAAAGTCGATCAATTAGTTATGAACATTAAATATGCGTGTAGACGGATACCGTCCCCATTCATTTTACGAATTTCATACAAAATCCCTCTAAGATTGAAGCGACTTTATCTGTGGCACGTCGTATGTGCATTCCGAAGATTTCCAATTCTAGCCTCGGCTAAACTTCTGAATATCTGGGCAGTGAATTATTATGATTTTATGTACTTCGTGTCTTGGATAAAAACAATAAAGTAGATTACGGTAGTTTTCTCTGTCACCATCGTACATTATCATCCTCCGAAGTTACAGAACCCTAAATAGCCTCTCCAGACCTTCGATGTATGACTTCGAAAAAACTGATAACAATTAAACAATTAAAATAGACTGTTCCATAATAATAAATGACAAAGAAACCACGTGCGGGGGCGGGCGAATAACAAACAAAGACAGTTAGTCGGCATGAATAGCAAGTACTTCCTTGTGTGATGGAACCAGAATCGTGAGGTGAGAGGCTGAGGCGTTGACACATATCCAATGGGCGACCGGGTTTGGAATTTGACATTTAAATTTGTTGCGCAATAATTTATTAATAATCTGGCTCACGGGTTAGAATCCTTAAGAATTTCGTAATCGTTCCGCCGCGCAATAAATTCTTATTCGTTCTTAAAACTGTGTCCACAAGAGTTCTATCCGTAGCCAGCTAAATCCATTTTTCACAATCTCACCATTGTTTCTTTAGACAAGATTATTCGTATAGAAAGTGAATAAAAAATTCGTAAAAATCGTTTCTGGCTGCGATTTAATGACAGATAAGTAAGTGGAAGGTAATATTCCGATATTTCGAAAAAGGCAAGTAAAGCAAGTAAGGTGTAACATCTACACTGTAATTACTAGATAAATCTTCCCTCGTCTGATCTTTGCTGTGGATTAAAATGGAGTCTTAATTCTCCTCCTCATGAGGTTTGGAGAAACCAGGAAAGTCGGTGAGCCCATAACTGGAATCAGTCGCCACATACATAATAAACATAGTCTTCTGTCGTAGCTAGAATAATGCAATTAGTTAAAACATTTAAAAATTAAAAAAATTCCATTACTTTCAAATATAATAGTAAGTTTAAAATATGCAAAATTAAATTAACATACGGATATACTCGGGAAATGCACCGAATCGGTTAAACTAATCAAACACCAAAGAACTGTGTTCGGGAAGTTTCCGGCCAAAATCTGGGCTGGAACACCGGTTATCTTAAGTTTTTCGTCGTGTGTTGCAACAAATTTAAGGTTATAATTTGCCCTGCGTTATAGTGGCAAGACATGACCGTGTACTTGCTATTCATTTGTTTGCAGGTGACCGAGGTTAATTTACGCGACGTGCTGACGGCAGCCGAATGGTCGTCACTCCTGGGCACTTCCGCTGATGGTGAGTTGATTTTATTTTGATTAATTACGTGGTTACTGGCCTCTGTCGACTGAAACAGTGTCGCAACGAACTGTAATATTGTCATAGTTTTCTATTTATGTGAAACATTCTACCTCACACTCTGATTTTGTCAGTGTCCGTCTCGAGTGTAAGAAATACATTAAAAATTTCAGTTAAGATACTAAAGTCTAAAATTCATCTACTGCTGCTCAGTAAGTTTATTTTGACATAAGAAAGCATATTTTCGTATATCAGTTTAAATACGGCGCCCGGTTTTTTAATATTACATTTTTAACGTCTATCTTTAATTTCGTGCTTAATGATGCACGAACATAACAGTTATCAGAGATTTTAATAGGCGCAGGCAGCATCAGACATTGACGCATCTCTAAATGTACTAACACTTCAGTATTATTTGCACGAACCGGGTGATCACTTACCACTTTATAGGCCTACTAGAATTGCCTCATAGCGTCAATGTGTTATTTCCTGTTTTTTTTCTAACTGCAGTCTACTTATTTACTCGGGAACTCCGACAGTTTAAGCAACGTTAATCTGTCCATAATCACGATTCACCAGATCCGCCTTCGTAATAAAGTGCGTTTCCTTTGCTCTAAGAAAGATGCGAGTACATTGTAATTATCGTAGCACAAGACATCATGCGAATAGTTACATACATAAACTCACTCACTGCTGAAGTACTGTTCCGAACCGAAAAATAATAGAACCACAATTCAAAGGAACATTACACCGCATGGAACAAAATAAATGTCGTTTATCTCGCCATGTCAGGCTTGCTCGGTGCTTGGTGTTCAAGCAGGCGTTACAGAATATAATAAAAGCAGATGAACTCACTTTTTAAGAACATAATAAAACACGCCAGTTAGAAAATTATGGTTGAGATAACGTCATCATTGTTCTTGTCCAGTTACCATCTCTTCTGTATTAACTTTTCCCTTTGTCATAGGACGATTTAAATCTCTTTACTTTCACTTAAAATAAAAGAGCTTGACATTTTTATTTTTCGTGAATCCAAGGCCAATATTAAGCGTAGGTAACGGGATTATTTTCACATGGCCTTGAAACTAAGGGAGAAACTCAGGTCAAATTTATCTCAGCAAAGATGATAAGCCCGTTCGGACCCTACTGCTTTCATACAACTACTACTACTACTACTTTAAGTTTCAGTAGCTAATAATACGATTAGTTTAAAGGGGGGCGACTTGACATGTAGACGCAACGAAGAGAAGACATCAAAACTTGGATTTTAACCTTAAATTCATGTTTCAATCACATCAGCACAATTTTAGAAATATTAATACATTATTTGTGAGGATTATCTGAAAAAATTTTCGATTCCTGAACTCTTAGGATTTATAACCCTTTACTCCGGCACCGGCAAAATATCTGTGCATTAACTTCGCGTTTATATACCAAAAGATTTTCCTATCAGAGTAGACCTGCTACGTTACAGATTCCACAAAGACATAAGTTTGAACGCGTGTTACTTCTTTTAGGATGTATTTTAGTATTTCACACTCTGACTGACTAATGCGACTATGCATTAGTCCGGAAATATTAATTTCTAAGGCAGCTGATGTCCGTTTGTTGAGTACAATCGACATTCCATCACAACACATCAAGCTATTTGATCGCTAAGCACAACTATGACAATCCGGTGTAATTTTTCATACCCAAATAAACAAAAAATTTCATAAAGATTATCAATGTCGGATAAAATTTTTCTTTAGATGGCACGAAAATAAATGGATTAAGGTCAAATTGAAACTAGAAAATAAAGAAACGTATACAGAATGGTACAAAAATCAGGACACGCTTAAAATTAAAAAGGTATATAAATATGTATTCTTGCTTCTGATTTTGTAATTAATTTGTTTACTTTTCATATTTGCCGCTACAAACATTTTTAAAAGCACATATATAAATACTCTTTCACTTTCAGTATTCAAAATGGTCGCCTTAGAGCGATGGCCAGAGTGTCGTGACTTTCTCAACAGTCTGTATGTAACGCCTCGCGCTAAGTGACAAACACAGAAAAAGGTGACACAACATGTCTGTCAAAAGTTCTCTTTAATTGCCTCACCCACCCACTTATACAGGGAAACAACGCAGTAAGAAGATGGAGGAAAGGAAGAAAGAGAACTCTCCGAAATTTGTAGGCTATATAAATACTTAAAACAAATTTGTAACTTACGAGACCAACATAGTTTGAATTTTCAGACCGACGGATTCAATATTGGGTTAGATTAAAAAGTTCTTCTACGAGTTAGGCCCTGCGGCCTTGAAACTGTAAATTTTCCAGATGACTGGTAGACTTCTTGGTCGAAGGGATCGTCCCACTGTAAGGCCTCTGCCAAGCCAGAAAAACACGGATAAATACTAAGCCTGGAGTGGGATTCGAACCCAGAATAGTATTCAATGGGCCACAGATATAATTCATACGTGTAAGCATTCAGATCCGTGTTGATGAAAGACTCGGGTTACAAGTCGCGTCAGGTGGCTGAATGGTGAATAAACCATATATTCTGTCAACTTTTCGAGAACAATCTCTGCTCTCATCCTCAGGGCTGCTGCGTAACAAATCTGATCCTTTGTGGCGTGCTACAAATCTTGTCACTGGACACGATCCTAAGCCACTTCAACCTAATTTCATACTCAAGCCTTATTTTTAATACTGTAGGCTACTTCCATTTCCTTCCTTGTCTTGCAAGAGGTCGCTTTTCAGGCGATATTACCAAAATCTGCATCATCTTTTGTCTCCCCCATCCAAGCTAAAAAGGCAATCCTGTATTGGCTTCGTAATAAAGAAAAATTTCCCGCAATTTCAGCACCAGAATTCGCAGTGGTGCAACCGCGACTGCCCAGCAAACGTCGCAAGAGATGGCTGCTTTCGGACGAGACGTCCGTCATGCCTGTGGCTTTCGAGGCTCAGTCGCTGGGACGTCGGTTCGAACTTCAGTTACGTCCCAGCCCGGCGCTACTGGACCCACAGTTCGTTCTACTACGACGTTGGAGGAACCGCACCGAGATGCTATCCCCTCGCCTCGCGGATCAGAGCTGCTTCTATCGCAGTGACGATAGACATCGCGCTGCTGTCGCCCTCTGTGACGGAATGGTGAGGCTCAATGATTACAAGATTTTAAAAATATGAAATTTTAAATAGGCCAAGATTTTGTTTGTTTGTCATCAGTCTTTCGACTGGTTTGATGTGGTCCTCCATTTTCGCCTGTCTTGCGCCAATCTCTTCATTTCCACGTATTTTTTGCAGCCCACATCCTCAAAAATCTGTGTCACATATTCCAATCTTTGTCTCCCCCTGCAATTCTTCCCTTCAGCTGTTCCTTCCATTACCAAATTAACCAATCCTGGGTGCCTCAGAATGTGTCCCACCATCGTATCTCTTCTTCTCGTAAGATTTTTCCATAGACTTCTTCCTTCCCCTGTCCTGTCTAAGACCAGCTGATTTCGTACTTTATCAGTCCACTTAATTTTCAACATCCTTCTATAGCACCACATTTCAAATGTTTCTATCCTTCTTCTTTCTGGTTTTCCCACTGACCATGTTACCTACTCGATATTTGCGATGTTTCCTTGGCTGTATATATTCTGTAGTTAAAATAGCACTGTAAAATAAATTCATAATCAATCTACAGATTCGTGAACCACACACCGAACTAACAGAAGAAAAAATATAAGCATGTTTATAAAGATCACCTTGAGGCCTGTGTCTTTATTCTTCAGATAACAAAACTTTCAAGTCATTCTGAACCGTACTGGAAGAAGTCATGACCTTAGCTTCTATTCAAGTGTACCACACCCGTGCTCTAAGCTGCATTGTTTCTCAGCTTTATTATTTCTTTCTTCCTATTGTTATGAGTTAGTGCCAAGGTTCATGATACGCTACATGACGTGATATACTGAACCCCAAGCAACCTTAAGCAAGACAAATTTATAATTGTCTTTAATATCTTTCATCACTATTTCAGAAGGCTTCAGGAAATGCGTAGGGCGTCATGACATTAAAACACTCCCAGTTTCACTACAGCCACAATGAAATCTTATATTGCAGAGGGTTCGTATTCTGGAAGCTGATCTGAAATGCATTATTAACTTCATAGGGACTCTATGCAAACAGATGAGTTGTTTTAAAAGTACAATTATTTTCTTTAATACTGCTTTCACTAAATATTCTAAACTACGCAGCATTTATAATAAGTGTAATTCTAAATAAACAGCTATCTGAACACAAATAAAGATATTTAATCGTTAGGTAAATCAAGAAAAGGTCAGTCCTATTTAAATATTCCAAGGAAATTCACGTAAAATAAGTCAGATTATTTTTGATAGGCTGCTAAAATTCAGTGAATATCGAAACATACGAGCGAACTTTACTAGTCTTCAGCTATAAGAATTTTGTTTTCGCTAATTTTATTAACAATGGACGAAACCAAATGACACCAATTTCATGTCTGCATACTACCAGATACGTTGAGAAAGATTACAGTTCAGTTAATATAACTTAAATAATCTTACATTTAAGGGTGGCATCACCTTTAAACAAGGAACAAAATATAAACTTGACACAATAAATGATTATAAACAAATTACTCTAATAGCCGCCTACAGACCCCAAAACACCAAATTCTATCGATATTCGTTCAGTTGTTTCGGGGATGAAACAGAGAGGAAATACGCAGTTACGTTCTAAAGTAATTAATATCAAAAAGTTTAAATATGTCTTTGTTGCAGTTCTCGAAGGTACAGATGTAGAAACATTCACAGATTGGTATGAATTCACAGTAAATCTTCTTTTTTCGGTAGACTATTTTATATAATTGAAATGCGATTAGAATATCCAGAATTCCGGGAGCCAATATTGAATATTAATAATAATATGTTTTGTTTGTTTTTTATTTAACGAAGCTGCTAGTAGCTCAGATTTATAAGCCTCGAATGATAGGTTGATTAATAAACACTGAATTTAAACGAATATGGAAAGAAGCACTGGTGGCCTTCTAACCCGGAATTTGCCTTGAGGTACTGAGGAAAACAACGAAAATCCTATGTTACTATAGCTGGTCTCGGGTCCGAGATTAGAACCCGGGACCTCCCGAATACGAACTAGAACTGAAAACCATCTTGCCGCTATATTCGGAAAAGTGTGTGGAAAGAAATCGATGTTATGCTAATAGAGAAAACAGTTTAACTTCGTTTACATCACAAATAACCTCACACTATAACATGAAATATTCTCAACCAAACAGCGAATAATGCAGACAATTGTGCCGAAAAAGAAAGGTGGAACGTTAATACTTCCGAAAACCCCACTTAGAGCAATTCTCCATTTTGTCTTAGCCATTATCCACGCTTGAGTCATTTCCATAATGCGAAAGAAAGTTATAAATGCACCTTTGTGTAGTATTATAGCAAGAATACGACCAAGAGTTGAACTTTCCGGTCTGCTGGGTCTAGCGCGAGGGTACACAAAAATCATAAGTTGTGTTTTGCTCCAGTCTTTGGTTTATTATAGGTACACAATGTTATACAGGCGATTGGGAATTATGATCTCTTTATTAACTGTGCCGGTTATTCGCGACTGTAAATGTATTATTAAATATAACAACAGCGATTTGGGACGAACTAATCTCAGGCCCTGGAAGTAGCACAAGTAAGAGGTACCACTATGGTTACGACATACGTATTTTAAATTATTTCCTTAATTCAGAGTAATGATTATTCTTCAAGGGGGCTACAATAAAAATTGCTGCCTCCGTGATATGATCCAAGGGCCTTCAGAATTTGTTCCAGATTCGATACGTAATAAATGTTTGTTTAGAGCTGTAAGTAATACGTGCAATAATATTTGAGAATTATATATTCGTTACACTATTTTGTTCATCCCTGTTCACTTTTCCTCACTATTCGTGCAAACAACGGTCATTTGACCGAATCGAAAGGCCGACATCTATATTGAACAGTCTAGTTTTACAGCAGAGAATAATTATACTTTGTAATAAAATATCAGAAAATTACAACAGAATGTGTTCTAGATAGTTCTCTCTTACACTAAAAACGACGTGGACAAGTACTTGGGATCGAAATGGGTTCTTTAAGATCTGGACTATAACTTAGATGAAATTTAAACTTTCCATCGATGTTATTATTACGATTAGTGTAAACAGACGATGGACAAGTTCAAAAACCCTTGTAATACTACCTGGACCATACCATCATATTATATTATAATTTTACGCATTTTTCAACTCAGGAGTTTAAAAGTAAAGGACATGAAACGAAAAGCCTTCAGTTAATGATTTTACTCAGTTCTTTACTTTCAAAACTGAGAATGATTATTATTCGTGTGCATTAAGATTTAAATAAATTAAACTGTTCTTAAACTGACATTCAATAAGCGTAAAAAATTCGTTACTTTTCAATAGTCACATCACAGAAATAATCAAAACAGTGGAGGCAGCAAGAACCTCTGAAACGTCGGTAAACTTCTACTAGACTACACGGCGCAACAACTCCGAAGACAGACATCTTCAGACTTACCGCCGTGAAAACCCCAAATCCTACAACCAAAACAGTAATAAACATAATTTGAATAAACTTCGAAATCACGTGTTCTCTCTCCAGAAACAAATTTCGCTTTATATTTTGCAGCTGTCTTCAGCTTTCTGGTAGAAAGCTACTAGGAAACACCGGATATTTCACAGCGCAACTCTCGTGATAATTGGATGAGCGTTTGTATGCGGAAGATGGTCAAACTCGTTGAATGAGCGTTGTTATTCTTTGGTGCATTTTCACCTCATAAATATTTAGAGTCCACTCTCTGTACTCAGGTTAGATTTCCGGCGCTCTTAAAACATGGAAGCATTTTTAATCTGCCTTCAAACATACCTTGCTGGAAAGCGTTGTAAAATAAAATAAATTATTTATTATGACAGTGATATTTGTTAGCTTTCTTTACACAACGAACAATCTCTTCCTGTCTTGTTTTCTCACAATATTTTTACACAATACATTTATTTAATTAAAATTAGGCCTAAGTTGGGCATTGTCCATTGTCTGAAGTGTACTGATAGACACGACGTTTCGGAAACTGGCTCTACTCCCGTCTTAAGGTGATTGTTATCATATTGACAATTTTTTATTATTTTTCATTAATATTAGTGGCGATATTTGAGATCGAACCGGGGCCTGTTTTATACAAGGCTCTCACTCCCCAGTGCTCCAGGCTCTTTTATGTATCTAGTTCTAGACACTTGGCAGTTTACCTCCACGCACCTTATAATCCACATCTTGTTGCTTGTGCACAGAAAAGCTTAGCTTTCTGCCTGTTTATTATTATCATCATGATAATTCTGATAAATTAATTAATTAATTTGCATAATAATGGCATAAGGACTAATCGTATAAATTCACTCAGGTGTTTGAAATTTTATGAAGATACTAAATGGTGTGAGACGCTTTAAATAAATAAAATATGTAACGTTTGAATTTATTTTTGATGAAATTAATTCTAGTGTGCTTTATCAGTAGCTTAGCACTTAACTAAACATCTTAGAGCTCAACGAACGGTCTGAATTTAAGCTAATCAAAAAGGGTACAAAATTCGTGTAGTAGAATTGGTACTTGTGGGGCGGCTACTTCTTTCTACACACCAGAGTTCGTAGCGTAACTTGTTCTGGAGATGTTAGGGTTTGGGGTCGTTGAACTAAACAAAAAATATGTTAAACCAGTCCTTACTTTTAATTTATTTTTCGAACAATTAAGGTTACCTGTAGTTGTTGGTTTGCATTAAAAATACTGACACGTTAGTTGATCGTAGTTAAAGGAGATACAGAAGCTATAATGTTCGATGTTCACCGTAGTTTTCTATAAATCATGGGTCGGCAACGTTCAGATGGTGAAATGACTACGTGGTGAACAACTGGGGTTCGATTCCCCGATAGATGCAGTAATTCTTATGTTCTGTACCGCGTCCAGACCGACTCATGACATATAGAACCTCGTTAAAGACGAAGAGACAGTCACTCATTATCCTTTTTAGCTTAAAAGGAAAACCAGTGTTTTTAACAAACAATTATTCGTTACCACCGACCGTTTCATACAGCCGTAAAAACATAACCTCGCAGTCAACTGGTTATAAAAGAAATAATCTCTTAACCGCGTTTCGGACACGTAGAACGAAATTCTATAAATATGTTTCGGACTTAAGTGGCTCAGAAGTAACCAGCTGCACAAATTACACTCCTTTTTACGAAACATTACTTTTGAATTAGCTACATAGTGCTTTAAGAAGAGCGATTTAATTATTTCGCGAATAGTATCACGTATCTGCATCAAAATGTAATGTCCTGACTTTCCATTTTACGTATTTTTTGTGGTGTGGTACTGACTGTTACAGGGTATGCATAAAGAAAATTACCACTACTTCAGTTAATAACTTAGCTTTCTCTTTCACAGATGCCACTTACTTAAAGTAATACAGTTCTTTGTTATTTCACTGGATATAACACTTAACAGCGGTCCACTAAAACAATATCAGTTGCTGAACATTCCCATTTCATACTTTCGCGTGGATTCCAGCCGGTAAAACCCGTCTTACCGTTTAAACTCTAGACCCCGCAAGATTCACAATGAGGGCACCGGACGAAACAGTTCTTGGCCATACAGAGGCTTGTCATAATTTGCTCGCTGTTTATGTGGAAGGTTCGAAATTCGATTCCCTAACCGAAAAACTTCTCGACTCTTAACTAGCAATAATACATATTTTATGGCAAAACCCCGAGCTAAATGCCTGCAATAGGTGGTTATTACCAATTTAATTCAATAAGTTTACAAGTAAGATTCAAGAAACGATCAAAAAACAAAAATTAAACCCGAAGACGTAGTAGGTTGAATGGCCTAAGCCAAGATGGTGTTAATGTCGTTTACACTAACAAATTTTTAACTGTAATTTATAATATTGACATCTTTTGAATACTTATAAAAAATTGAGACGAAATATTTTACTTTAAAATAATTGCTCCAGCTGAAGTTATTTTCTAGACTTCGCTAGACTGGGCCAAGCCACTGTCTGAATGTAAACGTTCAGAAAGAAAGTGCACTTAACTGTCTTCAATTTTACGGTCAAGTTCCCACAAGAAACTAGAATAAGTTAGGTCTACTGCTTTATAT